TTTTTTTTTTTTTTTTTCTGGTGGAACCGGGGATTGAACTCAAGCTCTTGCGCTTGCCAGGAAAGTGCTTAATCCACTGAGCCATCTCCCTGGCCCCATGATGCAATTTTTGTGAGTATTTTCCATCTGTGGCTAGTTGTATCTGTCATGCTGAGCCCTGTGCTATGTCTTTGCCCTCAGGCAGCTAATAATTTCATGGGAGAGGCAGACTAATCAAGCACACGCTACAGAAGAAAATGTGTGATGAGCAGCCTGACTTTATTTCAGGGATAAGGCAAAGCTTCCTGGAACAAGGGATATCGCAGCAAAGGAGAAAAGGACAAGTCAAGGATAAATCAGTAAAAGCAAAGAAACAGTGTGGTTCAAGTAGAGAGGAAAGTATAGGCAAAGGTCCTAAAGTGGGAGGGCAAAAGCAAAAGAAAGCCAGGTATCTTAAATATTGTGAAGGCTGGGAGTAGTGCAGGCAGCACAAGTCCCCTATCATATTGTGTCAGCAGGGTTGAAGGAACCCAATGCTCAGTGACAGCAGAGCTCACGCAGAGAAGGCTGCCGCCCTCCACAGCACTTTGGTGGTGCTCAGTAGAAATGAGATGGAGGCTGTCAAAGGCATAAAAGTCAGGCCCAAATTGAAACTTGTTCCAGGGCAATTCTCAGGAGTGAGAATACAATAAATGGTAAGGTTACTTCAGGGAAGGGCAGTTTCTCATCAGAAAATCAAACACCCAACACCAAGACCATCTCCCATTTATTTTTTCCCCCAGGACTTGATCCCAGGACCTTGGGTATGTGAAGCAAGTGCCCTACTAGCAAGCTAAATCTCTAGCCCCATAAAGCTTCCTAAACCTAAAAAAACACATTTTGGGGTGGGAGGAGATAGGGTCCTACGATGTAGTGTAGGCTAGTTCACTATGTAGCTCAGGCTGGCCTTGAACTTGTGGTGATTGACCTGCCTCAGCCTTCCATGTACTAGGGTTATAGGCAGGAGTCACCAAGCCCATAAAGAAGCATTTTTAAGGGCTGAAAATGAACTCAAATAGGGGGTTTTGAAATAGTCTATGCCAGTGATGGGGAACCTTTTAGAGCTTTCAGTGCTAACAAATAGCCCACTATGGCACCTGTGCCCCAGGTCTGCTACCACTGGTCTATGCTCTTCCCCTTAGGAAGGTGGTTTGATCATTATAAAAACAAAATGCTCATGCTTTTAGACCTAGAAATTCCATTTCTCAGGATTCCATTACAGAATTCATACTTAAGATATATAAAGATGTTTGCATTATCAAAAAAAGAAAGGAAGAAAAACAGAAACATCTGTCTGTATTAGAATCATTAAAGTACAAGGGGCTGGGGAGATGGCTCAGTAGAAGAAGTGCTTCCCTGGCAAGTGCAAGGGCCTGAGTTCACTCCCCAGTTCTGCAAAGAAAAAAAAAAAAAAGAATCATTAAAGTACAGTACATCTATATGATAAAATAGTGGGAAGCCATTAAAAAGTGGAGAACTAAATGTGCTGCTTGTAAGAAAAGACATTCAGACATTTTAAGTGAAAAAAAAAACATGGTTCAGAATAGTGTGTACAGTACAATTTTTTTGAGTCAAAAATTCATACATAGGTGTTGGGGAGATAGCTCAGTGGTCTAAGTGCCTGCCTGGCAAGCACAAGGAACAGGATTCAATCCCTGGTATTGCATACCGTGCAGGCTCTGGAACCCAGGCACATTGTGCCAGCCACCAAAAGTGGGCCTAGTGGCACATGCCTATAATCCCAGCACTGGGGAGGCTGAGACAGGTGGATCCTGTGAGTCTGAGCTTTGTAACAAGACCCTGTACCAAATAAATAAAAAGATTTTTTAAAATTCATATGTAAAGCAGCAGTAGGCTTTAATAAACACTTTGCTCTAGGGCTGGCTACACAGCTCAGCAGATTAAAGCGCCTGCAAGCAGATGCAGGTGCTGGGGTTTGATCCCCAGGCTTGCCATGCCAGCCCCATCCCTAGAGTGCACTGAGATGGTGATTGAGACTGGGCATGGTGGCGCGCGCGCCTGTAATCCTGGCACTTGGGAAGCTGTAAACAGGCAGGTCACTCTGAGTCTGATCTAGTAGTGAGACCCTGAACACCCTGTAGACCCTTCCCTAAAAATTACCAAAAAACAAAAACCCACTATGCTCTATTTTCCTGGACTCCTTATTTATGCTGAATACTTTTTCCATCCTGGAAGCCAAAAGGAAGCACTCTGTCACCATAAAACTGGAGAACAAAGCTTGTAATTTACTGGTTCAGTTTAGACAGAAACAGATAACTAATCCCATATCCTTCCTCTAAAAATGTCCATAAAGTATTAGAAATGACAGATTTAGTATACTTCACTCTTGCCTCAGGTAGAACTCCACAGGATAAATGCTGGAGCCCCTTGATAAACTTAGAGTTCCAAGACTGGAGGGCATAGTGCCCTGCCTAAGAAAGGAAGCTCCACAGTACCCTCTATATCACTTCTACTACCATGAATACAGCATTAGAAAGGGAATATTCCTGCAAGAGACAAAATATTAGGCCTTATGTGGCCATTTGGAGCTATAGGGGAATGGACACCATGTCAATATTTTCCTATGTGGCAAGGAATAGGGGTGGTGGGAGAATTGTAGGGTGATGAAAAGATATAGCCTAGTAAGAATGTATGTAAGTGGATGTCACTAGGGATGATTATATCTAAGAACTAGATCAGCCAAAAGTTCATCTCAATGGAACCAGAAGAACTAGAATCAGAAATTCATAGTCCATCTGTGCTATAGATTATTAAAAGGATGATGCTCCTAGAAAGGCAGTACTCCTTACTCACTTTCAATTGTTTGGCTTAAGCCAGTTGTTTATTAGAATTTGTCCCTTCTCCATACACACTATATAAGCACCCCTCTAGTTCTTTCTCTCAGATGCTATCTTCTCTGTGCAGCATTACTTCTCTGGTTTCTAATCACTTCACAAATTTCTGCCACAGGGTTCAAGCAAAGAAGCAGAAGGCTGTAAGTGACTGACCAGTATCAAAGCACATGCATTGCCATCATGCCTACACCCAGCTCTGTCCTTCACTGTACTGCTACTTACTTCGGCTTTCTAATCTTATACAAAATTTTCTTGTGGGCAGTGCTGACCTGGAACAGGATAGGAAGATAATCCTAAGAAACTCAGTTCCAGCTTAGTTCAAGTGACACAGTACAAAGCCATCATAAGCATGCATACCTGTACAGCAAATTTCTGTTGGTACCTCTAGTGGCGAAAAGCCAGAATACCAGAGCTGTTTCCTTGGGACTCAGCACAGCAGCTCTCAACAGATGTTCATTGACTCAACAGAATGCTCTTCCCACCTCCCACTCAAACAAATGTTTGAGTACGTTGTGGGGCCCTGGGAAATAGCTCAGTGTTTTCCTGAAGAGTGTCATTTACATAAAAGTCAATGGAGCTATTGTTGGGGGTTTTCTGAAGACCAGGGAGCTGAAACTGTTCTGGGGTTTGAGAGCAGCCAGCTTTGACACAGATTCCAAGTGGATACAAACCTCAGGGGGTTAAAGAACATAGCATCCAATATGCAAATAAGACTGCAGCCAGGACTGTGGAGGTGAGAACTCTAGGCTGACAGCAGGCAATTCACACTTCAGAAAAGTGGCAGAGTGCCTGAGGTGGTTAGAAAAACCTGAACAAAAAACCTTTCAATGTCATCAGAAGGTTTCAGAAGCTAAGGAAAAGTGCTCTTGGCTTTCTCTATAGATATAATTCCCTTATGGCCTAGAAGGTTCAGGATTTTAGTGCCAAAAAAAGAATTTATAGATAAATTGCTAGGCTGACGTGTTCCAATGTATTAATTAAATTAATCAGAGTGCTACTTCACACACAGTTTGACCCCAAAAGCCTTTGTAAATACACATTTATTTATTTATTTACTTACTTATGCAGTACTCAGGATTGAACCCAGTCCCTTAAGCACAGTAAGCAAGCACTCCACCTTCCACTGAGCCATACTTGCAGCCTCAGATACCTTTAGATACAGAAAGAGCTGCCCAAATCCTCCTCTTGACTTGTTCCTCATGTCTAAATCCCTTTATGTATAAACAATGCTTCTATACCACCATGGTATAAACAAAACATGCATACTGTCAGCTATACTGTAAAAGGGTTTTTTTTATTTTTTGCGGAACCGGGGATTGAACTCAGGTCCTTGCGCTTGCCAGGGAAGTGCTTATTCCACTGAGCCATCTCCCCAGCCCCCTGTAAAAGGGCTTAAAACTGTTGTTTCTAATGCTCAAGACAACGAGCGCTTCCCTGGCAAGAGCAAGGGCCTGAGTTCAATCCCCGGTTCCACCAAAAATAAATAAATAAATAGGGATCACAATTTTAAAAAAAAGATTAAAATACTTGCTCGTCAATTATTTGAATCCAATTAAGTCTATTTCTAGTCATTTTTTTTTCCTTTACCAGCTTTGCTCACTACGAAAGAATAATTTGGGGCACAAATAAGCCTGAAAGAGGGCAAGACTTTATGAAATCACGTTCAGTTTCAAAATTTCTAGCCTATAATCATCTGGAGGTTATCACAACAATGTCTAGCTGATATCCTTTCCCCTAACAGGTTTTAGGTGGGAGGAGGGAACAGTCTATGAAGGGACAAGAGAGCCTAAGGCCAATAAAAGTATCCACCTGACAAAAGTTTCTATGCTTCCACTGCTCTTTTCTGGGAAGCAGGAGCCTAAAACCACTCATTCAAAGCCATACCCAGTAGCCCAGTGATTCAAAAGCACCAAGATACTGAGCAGAGTAATTCTTTTTTCTTTGAGATAGGGTCTAATAGTTCAGCTGTCCTTGAACTTAATAACAATCCTCCTGCCACAGCTTTCCAAGTGCTGGGATTATGAGTGCACCACCATGACCAGCCTGGGCATTATCTTGATACTAGCCTTGGACAAGTACACAAACATCTAACATAAGGCCCTGGTGTCCAGAAAATTTGCTCAGGCCACTTCACGGTGAGGAGGAAGATCAACTCTCCCTTACTTCCCACATCATAATCATCTCCAATTAGCCAGTTTCCTTCTCCCCTGTGGGATGGGCAGCACTAAGGCACCCATCCATGAATAAAATTCTATCTTGTAACAACAATAAAGAGAGGAAAAGAAATAAGAAATGAGGGAGGAAAAAGACCCTTATAACATGAGTAGAAAGAGTCTCTCAATTGCCCCTACCCTTAAATATCTGCCAACTCCTTCTTCTCACAGAGACCAATCCGCTGAGCCATTTTGCAATCTTTGCTACGGACTGAAGGAAACAAGAATTTCTGCTGTAATGGCATACTGGATTCTAGGATGAGGCCAAAGTCAGACAAGGTTGGACAAAAAATGTTCTCGGGGAAGATTTGTTAGGCAGCGTATTAGTGCCATCTGCTGTTCAATTCTGGAAAGCAAACTTGGAGAATTCTGATATTAAAATTTGAATATTCTTCTACTCATTTAAAGTCATTCAAGTTCCACCTATGCAACAGGCAGTGTGACAGGGTTAAAAAGCAGATATAAAGCTAAATACTATGAAGCCCGACAGGCAGTGTACATGATTGAAGCATAGATATGAAGTTAAATTCTACAAATTCTCAAATTACCTGACTCTCTACAGGTTCACAAATTAGTGACAGTAGAAGACATTTAGAGAGAAAAATTACTGTGGGCTTTGTGCATCAGGACACATGTAAGATAAAATAGTGAACAAACATTTTAAGTCAAAGAGTTTCCTCAGAAAGACCTTAAAAGATGGCTAGTTTACCAGGCATAATAAAGATGGAAACAAGAGGCATTCCAGGTAAAAGGAAGAGTACGTGAGAAGACCCCCAAGCACAAAGTGACATTCCATTGGCAGAGTTTAGTTTATATTCTGTAGGTAATATGGCCTTTGACTAGATGTAGGTAGGGCTGTAATTTGGTCAAGATGACTTTTTTTTTTTTTTTTTTTTAGGGCAGGGTTAGTACTGGGCTCAAACTCAGGATTTTTACACTGAGCACCACCACACCTGGCTTGGGCTGACATTTTACAAAGACATTTGGCAGCAAGGAAAGTACAAAACCAATTAGAAGTCTGGAGGCTGAGAAACCAACCATTTCCAGAGTTCAGTTGACAAGTTACATGTAATTAGATTAAAGCACAGGCTGCAAGATATAACAGAAGAAATCCAGGAGATAGTTCAAGGAAAAATTGACAATATTGGTGTTTTATTGTTTGAAGGAGATTCCCTAAGTCCAAGAGAAAGGGAGAGAGGTGTTTGATGAGGTGACTGTGGGAAAGTGGGGTAGAAGGAAAGTGAGTAATTTCTGTTTGGGACAAGTTGAAGTGTTATGGATTAAACACAAGGTAAATGGAAATGAGTCTAAAATTCTGGGACTATTTCACAGTCTCTTCAAATCCTAAGGTAGAATAATAATAATAAGCTTGTCTTCTGGATGGTTAACAACCTAAGTTTGCAGACCAAAATTAGAGAAAAAGGAGGGCTACAAGGAAAGCCAACATTTTGGCCCTAGCCTTCTAAGGTCAATTAAGACTCAGGACATATGAGAACTTGTACTGTAACGTCATGTACCTCGGTAGTGTCCCAAATTTTCTGATCAAGAAGATTATGGGGCCACAGAGGAAAGTGATCGATGACGTAGAGTGGGCCTAAGGAGAGTCACATGGGGAGAAGACACTCTCTCAGGCTTTCACAGAGAGCACATTGGCCAAGCAATGGCCGTGACTCATCCACATGGCTGCACTGACAAAGGTTCTACAATCTGAGGTACAGGATCTCAGGATAAATCCTGAGGGCATTTCACTGACCTTCTCAGACCAAAAAGCTACAACTCTTGTTGCATAGGTCCTGCTTTACCTTGGTCTTAACCATCCAGTAGAAAAGTATTAAGACGAAATATAGGAAAAAAAGCCATGCTGCTATGTTGAGCTGTGGGGGACTCAGGTCAATAATTTCTGACATTGCCAATTAAACAGAAGACCCAATGCTATTATGGGCTACTGGACTCTTTTAGAATATTTTGCTGAGTTTACACACCTATAATATTCAATAATGGAACCTAGAAAAAATGGGGTATACCGATGAATGTCCATTTTGTATCTGTGTATTCAAAGTGGTTAGGATAGATATATAGTTGTATTCTCTTAAGGAATAGAATGATTTGTTCTAATGCTGTTTGTAAATAGGATCACAAGTCTGCATCTTGTACAGCAATTAACCACTAAGAAGAATATATGCAGTGTATTATTTGTTGAAACCGTACTTCCTATTTGATTTGAAACTGTCTCATTGCTATCTGTTTATCAATAAAACTTTGAAAAAAAAATAAACTGGCAGAACTAAAAAAAAAAAAATCCTAAGGTAGAGATTTTCTGTTAGAAAGAGAATGTGTTCCCATTGTTGGTACTTCTGCAATCCACTTCCTTATAAATTCCCTGTTTAACCTGCTATTGTAATCTAGTACTCCAAATGTTTCACTCTCTTTCAGTCAGAAAGTGTCACACAATGCAGAAAAGTATGGCTGACTTTGCAGTAAGACCAATCTACCAAATTTAATAACTGTAACTTAGAGCAAGATACTCTATCACTCATTAAAAAAAAAAAAGATAACTCCAATTTTTCATGGTTGTAGAGTTTTAAAAAACATTACTGCCAGGTTTAGTGGCACACACCTGTATTCGTAGTACTCAGAGGACTGAGGCAGGAGAATCAGCTCAAGTTTGAGGCCAACCTGGACTACAAAGTGAGTTTAGGGGCTACAGCCTGAACTACATATCAAGACTCTGTCTCAATAAAATTAAAAACTATTGTAGGGTTTAATGCATTAGAGCTACTGAATATTTGAGGGTTACACTTATTTTTTGGGTTATAAAAGGTCAACTGAAATGTTTTAATGGAACTCCCTTAACTTTTATTGATCACTGAATCAAGCACTGGCTTTTTGTATCTTCTGTAACACAGATGGTGAGTCTATTTATCACACTGTATACTCCTGATGTACACAGACCAAATAAATTTCCTTTAATATAGACTAGGTAAATATTTCTTTTGAGATGTTTCCATATTAGTAAAAATTACCTTTGAGCTAAATTGAGTATGTAGTTGATGACAGTAACTAAGCTGTAGGCTGTATACAAGGCTAGTTTGTTCATATTATGAAGATAATAGCTACCATATTTTGAGAAGTTACTGCTTGCCAGGCATTGTGCCAAAACGCCTAACCTTTCTTATTTCATTTAATCTTCACTGCAGCCCGCTGAGGTATTATTGCCATTTTTTTCACAGGAAGAAAAAGGAAACTGACCTGAGAGATGAACCTGGACTCTCACCAGGGCTCTTAACCTACATTAGCGGTTTATATTTGACACTTTGGTTGCTTCCAGTTTAAGCTGTTTATCTTTTCTCAAGGTGGAGGGGACGCTCTCTCATGTGACAATCTGCTACAATCGTTATTAACTCAATGAAGCAATTAGAAAATACAAAATCTCTTTTGGAAAACATGAGTTTTAACAGATAACAAAGTAAAAACTGAGGTCCAGGGAAAAGAAGATAGCGCTTCCGAACCGCTAGGCCTTAAACTCGGAAGTCGCGGGTCACTGAGATTCTAAAGACCCTCCTCACCACTACCTGCCCGGTACAAGCACCGGATCACTGAAACCCTCCACCCAATCCCACCCCTGTCCGCCGGTGCAGACAGAAACTAGGGTTTGTGAGCGGTTGGAGCCTGACAGGTTCACGCCTCAAGTTATCCCTGAAAACGCTGTGTCGACCTTTGGCCCTGCAGCGAATTTGAGGTTAGTTAGGGGCAGACTCCCAGCGGTCTAAGCCCCATCTTCTCCAAGGAAAATTAAGCCCAGGTCGGCCTAAACGCTACTCACCGGAAGCCCACAGAGGCAGGAGGTGGGCCTTGAACAGAGATCGGCAGTACACCCACCAATCAGAAGAGTTCAACTAAGCTTCTGGGGACCGACAGAATTGGATAGCAGGAGCTTTTCTCCCGCCTCCAGAGCGTCTATGGCTGGCCTCAGAACATCGCGAGATCTTCTCTCCCTCAGAAGAACGGGGCGAAGAGTTAACGCCTACTGTTTCCTCTAATTTCTGATTCGTTTTCTGGTGGAGAAAGAGGTAAACGTCACGGAATCCCTGGATGCCTATTGGTGAGTGTACGGGACAGCCCGCGCCCGGGTTTCAGCGCGGGTGTTCGAACTAGCGCTTGGCGGCGTTTCCATGGGGATGAGGCCTGGCTTTACTCGGAGGCAGTGGGTTGCCTCAGGTCGGGGAAGCCTTGGGGCTCTCTTCAGAAGGGATCACTTTTTCTCTGTCCCCTGATGGGATGGTTTGAGAAGGAAATGTGAAGACCCCGAGGTGAGAATGGGAAGGGGGAACCAAGGCACCGGTAGGAAGCCTTGGCGCCTTCCCCTCGGGAGAGGGTGCGCCTGACGCTTGCCAAGCGCATGGAGAAACGGGCGTTTGTGAGGGAAGTTGGGTTTCTGCTGGTTCTTCAGAATGCCCACCACTCTGTACTTCTTCTCCCCACCTCTCTGCTGCTTCAACACTTGTCTTGAACGCCACTTCGTGAAGTATTTCTTGCTTTTGAACTCATACTGACTGCATCTTCTCAGAGTGCTTCACTTTGGTTATGTGAACTCTATTTTTCAACATCCTCCCATATAATACTGGAAGACAAACTTTTAAAGTCTTGCAAATTCACAGAGAAATTTGTTAAGTTGGTTTGGTATTTTTCTTTCAAAATCTACTTTTATTAATGTATATTTGCAGTACATAATGATTAATTCATCGTGGAGAGTTGGTATATATTTAAGTTGAATTAAATTCTCCACAAATGGACCTGATTCTCCTTTATGCCTTGTTCAGTTATCTTTCCCATTCAGACATGAGGTTTTAAAATTTTGAACTGAAGAGGACTGCACCCTAATCTCATAAGCAAAAGGGCCTCAAAGTTTCAAGTTAGCCTTTTCCCTGTGAACAGTGAAGCTTTTTCAATGGGTTGTTCCAATTCTCGTTGTGGCTTAGCCTTGGTCTTTCAGAACGTTTTAGTAAACTATTAGTCTTTGCTTAAAACAAACTATTTTGTTGCTATATGCTAGAAAGTTTGTCTCCTTTTAGTTTGTCAGTGACCCACAGCTATTGTTATACTTTAAGGGTGTTTTAAAGAATTTTTTCCTTTATGTTCTATAGAAAGGCATTGTGGTCTCTACTTCAGTGCATTTAACAGCTCAGATAACCTTGTAACCATCAGGTGTCCATGATAGAATTGTATTACTGAGACGGTTTTGTTGTTTAGGCATGGCCTATATATTTAGTCTTATTGCTGATGATTCTTTTTTATACTCAATTCTTAGCTCAATGATAACTTTTTAAAACATGATTGAAAAAGTCAGGTATAGCAGCTTACACTTCTATTTTTTTTTAAAGACAAAAATGTTCAAAAGGAAAAAGGATGGATGAAAACGGAAAGGACAGTAGGAAAAGGAAAAAATGCAAGTCAGTTACTAATCTTCCTCAGTTCATTAAAAAGGAAGATTCATGCTAATATTGATTGGAAAAAAATTTATCCCCATATCTTGTACCTTGAGCAGCTACTTTACAGATAACAACATGTAATGTATTAACTGTTGTTTTTCTCCTATGATTTTGTTAGGAATTTTTGTTTTGTCTTTTATAAAATAAAAAAGAGAAAAAAATACAAAATTTCAAAATAAGATAACAGGGGTAACAATGGTTAATACATTGTGTATTGTTATCTTTAAATTACTCAGAATAAAAGTAGCAGCATTTAATTGTCCAAATAATTTTAGCCCAAACCTTTCTTTTAAATGAACTAAGAGAAATTAGTATTATAACTATCTTAACTATCTTTTATATGTATGTTTTTTTATTTTTACTTTTTTCTTTTCTCCATTCCCCAACCCAGTTTCTCTTTCCTTTTGAAGTTTCTTCCCATATTACCTTATTTTACCTTTTTTATCTTATTTACTCTTTCAGCTTCTCACATTAGGAAGACAATATGATGTTTACACATGTACATATGGTTTATTTCATTTATGAATGTGGTCTCTGGTTGCACCCATTTACCTATAAAAGTTTCCAGGTTATCCTTCTTTATGGATGAGTAGAACTCTATTGTATAAAAGACCACATTTCTTTTATCCATTTCTCAGTTGATGAACATTTGGGTTTCCAAGATCTAGCTATTACAAATTGTGAGCAGCGTAGAATTCTTATTACCTTTTTATAAAAGTTTGAAACACTACCTTATTGCTAAGCTGCAGATCTGTAACATATAGTAGAAACTGGACTGAAGATTCAGGGTTTGGTTTCTAATTTCATTCACTGTGGATGGTTTTCTAAGTTATCTACTAGGGTCTTGCTTTATTGTCCAAGCTGGCTGTCCTTCAACTTGTGATCCTCCTGTCTCAGCCTCCCCAGTAGTTAGAATTGCAGGAGTGTGCCACCACACCTGACTTATTTACTTCCTTTTTTTCATCTGGAACATCAAAGAGTTGAATTATATTAGAAATCTTGTGATGATCAATTTTCAGTAATTGATACAGGCAACAAACTCAGATTTCTCCTAGAGATAAAAACAGTAACTACTATTTGTTGGCCATTTACCCTGAGCAAATGACTATATGGAGGGCTTTATGTAAATATTACATTTTTCTCAGTATAGCACATAAATATGCAGCCCAGATACCATTTCACTTAAAAATTTGGTTTTATGTTTTTTTTTAAACTTTAT